CCCCCCCCCCGGGAAGTGCAAGGACAAGTCAGACTCCCTGGTCCACAGGCCTCCATCCACCACAGCCTTTGCCAGCATATCTGGCTGCCTTTTGCTCATATCTGTTGAGTCGGTCAGGCAGAGTCACGATTTTTCCAGAAACATCCCTGTCTGAATTGCCTTTGTATCACTTTGCTTGCAGTAGCTGAGGGAGCAAGCCTGGGCGTGGAAGGGTCTGGTTAGTTCCTGCGTGGGGGGGGGACACTTCCCCCAGTCCCCAGCACTTCGGCCTTCACCATGGAACCCTCTTATCTTTTGGCCCAGAGGCTGCCCTGGATGACCTCTGTGCCACTGAGACCGATGTGGATGACCCGGACATGGACTGTGGCTGAGGTCTCTAAGCATCAAGCCACACGGTGGCACCAGCGCTGCTGTTTTCCTCACCTCCTGGACTGATTAAAAGCTGTGACCGGCTGTTGCGAACACGCCAGCCCTGTGTTGCCTGAGTCTGATCTGTGTTGGCCGAGTGGGAGGGATGGAGCAGGAGCGCAACCCGGGAAGGCCGGGATCCTTCTTCCTGTCCCTGGCTGGAGCTGAGACTCGTCCCTATGGTAACAAATCTGCCTGAAGGAAGGAGCCCTGCCCTGCCTGTGGAATTGTCCTGAGTCATCGCTTTGGGCCGAGGCCATGGGAAGAAACCATTGTACAGCAAGAAAGGAGGCAGCCCTCGGCCCAGACCTAAACCAGGGAGGCCTGGGAAAGCGGGGCTTAGCAGTAGGTGCAAAGTGGCCATGGCTGGGGTCCTGGCAAGCTTGAGGCCTGAAGTGGGCCTTTCCCGATAGCCTGGGCATCACTGCCTGTGCCCTCCTGGCTGGTGCGCTCTCTGGTGTGAGGGCCCTGGTGCATTGTGCCAGCCAGCAGGCCATAGCTATAGATCCGAGGACTTTGGGGAGTCACGGGGGAGGGGGGAGGGTCTAGGGAGGCATGGGTGTTGGCAGGAGAGGAACCAGGCAGGCTGACTAGCAGGGCGGGCCTAGCTCACACCAGCTGTAGGCGGGCTCAGGCTAAGTTTCACTTCCCGCCTCTGGGGCCAGCAGCACGAACCAGCCGGTGTGCGACCGGAGTCATTGCTGCCTGCCTGCTACTTGGTAAGTGAGGACCCCCATGGGACTGGGTAGGGTGGGAAGGCCAAGGGTTCCGCCCGCCACCCCCAGACTAAGTGGGCACTAGGAGAGGAACCAAACCTCCCCCAGATGGTTGAGGGTGCTGATCCCACAAAAGAAGCCACCCACTGTCTCTGGCTTCCTGTCCTGAAGATGAGTCCTAGAGATCACCAGCAGTGTCCCCCTATGCAGGGAGAGCCAGAGATGTGCTCCTCCCCACCTTTCCCACCCCTGCCTTAGATCTCATCACGAGGACACTCACCCACTCCCCACTCCGTGCTCCTCCCCAGGCTCAGTGGCAGGTACCCACCATGTGCTCGCAGACCCTGCCCCCGGGTCCCATGCAGACCCTTATCTTCTTGGACCTGGAGGCCACTGGACTGCCCTTCTCCCAGCCCAAGATCACAGAGCTGTGCCTGCTGGCTGTCCACAGATGTGCCCTGGAGAGCCCTCCCACCCATCAAGGGCCTTCTCCCACGGTGCCCCCGCCACCCCGTGTGGTGGACAAGCTCTCCCTGTGTGTGGCTCCAGGGAAGGCCTGCAGCCCTGCAGCCAGCGAGATCACTGGCCTGAGCACAACTGTGCTGGCTGCACACGGGCGACAACGCTTCAATGCCGACCTGGTTAACCTGCTCCAAGCCTTTCTGCAGCGCCAGCCGCAGCCCTGGTGCCTCGTGGCACACAACGGTGACCGCTACGACTTCCCCCTGCTCCAGGCAGAGTTAGCTGTGCTGGGCCTTGCCAGTGCTCTGGACGGTGGCTTCTGTGTGGATAGCATTGCTGCCCTGAAGGCCCTGGAGCAAGCTGGCAGGTCCCCGGAGCAAGGCCCATGGAAGAGCTACAGCCTTGGCAGCATTTACACACGCCTGTACGGGCAGGCCCCGCCGGACTCGCACAGGGCTGAGGGGGACGTCCTTGCCCTGCTCAGCATCTGTCAGTGGAGGCCGAAGGCCCTGCTACAGTGGGTGGATGCTCATGCCAGGCCCTTCGGCACCATCAAGCCGATGTACAGGGCCACAGCCCCTACTGGAATCAACACAAGCTCATCTGCCACAGCCACTACACTCCTGGCCAGAGGCAGGGACACCAGTTCCAACCTTGGGGGAAGCAGGAGGCCCAAGGTCCTTCCTCCAATGAAGGGCCCTGGATCGTCACCCAGGGAGGGACTGCTGGCCCCACTGAGCCTGCTGGCCTTGCTGACCGTGGCATTAGCCACACTGTATGGGTTGTCCCTGGCCGCACCTGAGCAATAGGCCAAGAAGGAAAGTCTGACTAATAAAGACCCCCCCACAGCACCGAGTGCTCTCTTGCCTCCACCTTCCTTGGCTACCTTAGAGCCTATTTCACCTTTGCCAACACTCAGGCACCTGGGGAGGGGGGCACAGAGGGTGGCAGTCTTTGTCCCTTACCCTCCCTAGCAGGATGGTCAGTTGTCTGAGCGCAATACAAGTAGGGAAAACATGGAAATCCAAGTGTTGGATGGAAATGGTACCTGGCCTGCTGTCCAATGTCTGAAGGGCCAGTGCCCTGGCCGGTGTAGCTCAGCTAGTTGGGCGGCATCCCATGCACCGAAAGGCTGCTGGTTCAATTCCCAGTCAGGGCACATGCCAGGGTTGCAGGCTCAATCCCTAGCAGGGGGCACACAGGAGGCAGCCAAACGATGCTTTGCTCTCACATCGATGTTTCTTTCTATCCCTCTCTCTCTAAAAATCAGTTTTAAAAATCTTAAGAAAGGGGGCAGCAGCTCCAAATGTCTGCATTTATTATAAACAAAGGTGCAGACCCCAGACTCAGAAACATATCAACAGGTACAAAGCTGAGACATATCTGGCAAGAGTAACAGAGGGACTAACAGGGACAGGGAACACCGAGGTATTCGTGTTTGGGCCAGCAGCGACCCAGGGCCCACTTCCACCTTTGGTCCCGAGGCTGGTTGGCCCAGGTGCCCCGCTGCCAGGACAAACTGAACTAGGGTACAGGAGCTGGACTTCTGTGAGGTTGCTGTGAGGGAAGCAGGAACTATCAGGGTAGACGCCCCTCTCCTCTGTGGGCCAATTTCCCTCCAGGACCCAGGGGTTTCAGCCTCACAGCAACTACCACATACATTTTAAAACAGCAAACAGGCAAAAAAGTTTGGCTAAAAGTAAAAACACTACAGGGAGGACACCTGAATGTGTAGGTGGACAGAAGCCACCCTTCCCACCTGTGTCAGGAGCCAGGGGCAGCCAGAACTATGGGTGGATGTGGCCCTCCAGGCGGTCCCAGAGAGGCTGCAGGAATAGCCCAGGGAGACAGCTGTCGAGTGGGTGGGGCTCTGACTTAGGCGTTTTGATATCAGAAGGCTGCCCACTTCCACTGGATGTGACATAGGCTCTGGGAACGATGGGATCAAAATCCAGCTTAGCTAGATCCCAAGCCTCACCCACCTCCCTGCTTCAAGGCTCCAGTGCTCTGGACGGAGGAACAGACCCTGGGGACAGGCCACGGCCTCAAGCAGCGGCCAGCCACCTGCAGCAACCAGAGCCTGTATGCCTTTCACCCACAAAAAGCTGTGCTACCCTAGTGTGGCGAGCCCCACCTGGCCTCCCCCGGAGGTCTGGCAATGAACTCCCACCCCGTTTGAATTTTGCTCGAGGTTTCAAGGAAGCAGAAGTTGAAGTGAGGAAGAAAACAAAGTATGGTCCCAGCAACTGTGGCGAGGACTGTCCCCCACCTCGTCATCATCAAGTGTACAAACAGGACACGCATCCTGCACGGGGAGAAAGGGCTGTGCCCGCAGAGCCGCGCGCACGCGGCCTATCGTGGGGCAGCCAGAGACGCAGGGGTGTGCTCAGTGGGCGGCCTTCGGGGGGTCCATGTAGGCCGGGTTGTAAGGAGGCTGGCTGGCAGGATAGGGCATGGCTGCGCCTCCTGGAAACAGAGAGGAAGTGGTTGGCTGCGGCACCGCGGGGCTTCGCGGTCAGGCAGGGTCAGAGGTCAGCGGTACTCACCAGCCAACGTCTCGTGGTAGGCGGGTGGGCCTGCGGGCTGGGCTGGGTAGGGTGGTGGGTACTGCGTCGGGTAGGGTGCTGCCACCATCCCTGGCTGGGGGGGGATGGGCTGGTAGCCCTGGTAGGACGGCCCGGGGTAGCTGGGCGGCGCGCTGGGAGGCTGAGGGTAAGGGGCGTGCACCACAGTGGTGGACGTGGTGGTGGTCACGATGGCTGCAAAGAGAACCCGCGTCAGGACCCTCAGGCTTGCCGCCCCCCCTCCAGCTTAGCCAAATCGGGGCCCGGGCAGCTCCCCGGCCACCCTGGGGTCTGCACGGTGGGTGGGGTGGGCATGCTTACGGCGAGGTTGGCAACACATCTTGTACAAACAGCAGCAGGAACAGGTGAAGCAGACGATGATGGTGACAACGAAGAGGACAAAGATGGTCAGGCCGATGGCTATAGTTGCCCCAAACCTGTCAAAGAGCCGGTCATGGCCCAGGGCCTCTCGCCCCAGCCGGGAGCAGCAGTCCACACCCCAGCCGCCCCCAGGGGACACCCCTCTTGAAAGGGGACACTCTGGGCTGCGCAGAGCAACTTCTGGGGTATGCAGCTAGAACCCGTTTTAGCCGGTTTCCTCACGGGTAAAACGGGGCTGCGAGTCTATGTAAAGTGGCTCCCTTGCCCACCCTCAAGAGCATGGCAGGGAGTTCTGGGTCCCTGACATCCACAGGTCTTGTCCACCTCACCAACCGACCGCAGGTGGTCATGGAGCACATGCCACAAGCCAGGCACAGTGGTTTGAGCCAAAAACTCGGTCATGGCCGAGGCAGACTAACTCATGGCCTCTGGGAACCCACGGACCACTGCGGGAGACAGATGCTGGAGGTGGTCACATGACTCAGGAAGGACAGCGACAAAGATGGGGAGATGGTCCAGGACAGCAGAGGCCAGCGTGTCCAGAGCAGCAGGGAGAGGAACACAGTGCACCCAGCCTCCGCGCTGGCTGCTCACAGTCTGGGCAGGGCAGGGCTGTCCCGGGTGTGACCTGAGCCCGCTGGGTGCCAGCACCATGCCAGCTGCTCACAGGTGGGAAAACAGAGCCACGTGGATGACACGGAGGGGCTGGAGGTGGCCTGTCTTCTGGAAGGGGAGGCCTCCCTGCCTGACCCAGGTCCCTTAGCCAGGATCACACTGGAGGGCCTGCTCTTTGAGAAAGCAGGCCCTGGACCGGAAATTCATCAACACTGACTTTAGAGGGCAAAGCCCCTCTGCTCCCATGTCCCTAGAGCTCAAACTCTATTCTAATAAAAGGCAAATGCTTGGAAAGTGCACCAAGCCCAGGAAAACCCTGTTGGAGCCTGGTGAGCTGTAGGGCATCTGCCTCCCCTGAGGCCGGGGGGAGGACCGTGGGCCCGCACTGCCCCGGTGCAGGGGCTTCTACAGCGCAGGCAGGCACCTTGGCGGGGCCTAGGGACACACGAAGGACAGGGACAAGATACCCAACTGCATTTGCAAGAGAGGATGTCAGTCAGTAGCCTTCCTGACAAAGAGAGGAGCCCTCACCGGCCCTCCCTCACCCGCAGGCTCCTCCCAGACCCTCTGCTGGCCCAGGGAAAGGGGAAGCACACACTCAGACAGCCACACGCCGGTGCAGGGCCATCACCTCCGGTCCTCGGTCTCCGTCTGTCTGTCTGTCTGTCTGTCTCTCTCTCACACACACACACAGAGCACGGTGCGCAAGCCCAAGCTCACCCCATGTCAGCCTCCACGTTCACTCAAGGTCCTGCTCCCGGCTGCCCTTTCCCATCGTGGGCCACTCAGTTTCAATCTCCTCCCCTTTCTCGCCTCCTTTCAGAGAAAAGGAAAGCAAACCCCAGGGCCCTCCCCATGCTGACGTCATGGGCACTGGCAGGAAGCACAGACCTTTAAAGACACAGCGCGCGTGTTAACTAGACGCACAGAAACAGTGAACGGGGCTTGCTCAGCTGATCCATGTTTCACTCACATCAATGTTTCTCTCTCTCACCCTCTCCCTCCCTCTCTAAAAATGTATGTGCATATATATATATATAGACACACACACACAGGCACACATATATGATAAGCCTTTTAGTAAAGATGTTTAGATCAGAAAGGGCTTCTCTAGCTCTAGCCGGTTTGGCTCAGTGGTTACAGCATCAAGAGAATCAGCCTGTGGACTGAAGGGTCCCGGGTTCGATTTCAGCCAAGGGCACATACCTCTGTGGCAGGCTTGATCCCAGGCCCTGGTCAGGGCTCGTGTGGGAGGCAACCAGTTGATGTGTCTCTCTCACATCGATGTCTCTCTCTCTCTCCCCCTTTCACTCTCTCTGAAAAGCAATGGAAAAAATATCCTTGGGTGAGGTTTAGAAAAAAAAAAGAAAGGGCCATCTCTGGAGCTGGGACACCAGCTCCCACCATGATGCTGACAAGGCAGCAGACCTGCCACGACACAGGGCGTGTGAGAGCCACAGCAAGGCCGCCGTGAGGACTGGGAGTCGGCACCGGCTGCGCCTGCGCCTCACCTCACTTCGTAGGCCTCCCTGCCTTTCTCCTGCACTGTCACAGGGAGTGGGGGACGAGGGTCAGCATGGCCTGCAGGGGGCCTGTCGCCAGAGGATGTACCATTCAGGTGCCTAAAAAGCACACCAGTCCTGCCAGACCATCCCATGAGTGGCAAAGAGCTAGAAAGGGACAATAAAATCAGGATCTGAAAGAACCAAGGGAGCTCCAGCTCTGGAGAGGGAACCAGCCAAGAATGAACACAGCCAGACTGTTCGACGGAGCAGGGCGGGACTCGCCTGCTAAAGTTGGGGGCGGGGTGTGTGCAGAAGACCTGGGCCAACCCCGAGCCCAACATGGCCACACTCTGGGAAGTACATTGCCCACTTCAAGGGAGGACACTGCCCATCCCGGCTGTGCCAGGCAGATGGAGGCTCATCTGGATCCCTGTGCTCTGACTGGGTGCCTCGTTCTTGGGGACCCAGAGGGAGAGCCAAGGGCAAAAATCCAGGAATGAAGAGGAAGAGGGGTTGGTGGTGGGGAGAAGGGGGCAGAGCTGGGGCAGGTCCCCGGCCCCATGTGGTCTTTCCCCTGTCAGGGTTTGCCCAGAGCTCCCAGACACAGCCTGGGCAGCAGGGGCTGGATCCCACCAAGGAGCCAACACTCTGGTGGACAAACAACAGTGCCCTTGGTCAAGGGGGCAGCACAGTGATGCCCACCCAGGGGGACATCTCCTTGGGACTCCGGAGAGGGGGCCACCTGAAGGCATCACAGAAGTGTCATTGACAACCCTGTCCCTCTACCCTCCCAGCATCTGCTNGTGGGAGGCAACCAGTTGATGTGTCTCTCTCACATCGATGTCTCTCTCTCTCTCCCCCTTTCACTCTCTCTGAAAAGCAATGGAAAAAATATCCTTGGGTGAGGTTTAGAAAAAAAAAAGAAAGGGCCATCTCTGGAGCTGGGACACCAGCTCCCACCATGATGCTGACAAGGCAGCAGACCTGCCACGACACAGGGCGTGTGAGAGCCACAGCAAGGCCGCCGTGAGGACTGGGAGTCGGCACCGGCTGCGCCTGCGCCTCACCTCACTTCGTAGGCCTCCCTGCCTTTCTCCTGCACTGTCACAGGGAGTGGGGGACGAGGGTCAGCATGGCCTGCAGGGGGCCTGTCGCCAGAGGATGTACCATTCAGGTGCCTAAAAAGCACACCAGTCCTGCCAGACCATCCCATGAGTGGCAAAGAGCTAGAAAGGGACAATAAAATCAGGATCTGAAAGAACCAAGGGAGCTCCAGCTCTGGAGAGGGAACCAGCCAAGAATGAACACAGCCAGACTGTTCGACGGAGCAGGGCGGGACTCGCCTGCTAAAGTTGGGGGCGGGGTGTGTGCAGAAGACCTGGGCCAACCCCGAGCCCAACATGGCCACACTCTGGGAAGTACATTGCCCACTTCAAGGGAGGACACTGCCCATCCCGGCTGTGCCAGGCAGATGGAGGCTCATCTGGATCCCTGTGCTCTGACTGGGTGCCTCGTTCTTGGGGACCCAGAGGGAGAGCCAAGGGCAAAAATCCAGGAATGAAGAGGAAGAGGGGTTGGTGGTGGGGAGAAGGGGGCAGAGCTGGGGCAGGTCCCCGGCCCCATGTGGTCTTTCCCCTGTCAGGGTTTGCCCAGAGCTCCCAGACACAGCCTGGGCAGCAGGGGCTGGATCCCACCAAGGAGCCAACACTCTGGTGGACAAACAACAGTGCCCTTGGTCAAGGGGGCAGCACAGTGATGCCCACCCAGGGGGACATCTCCTTGGGACTCCGGAGAGGGGGCCACCTGAAGGCATCACAGAAGTGTCATTGACAACCCTGTCCCTCTACCCTCCCAGCATCTGCTTCTCGAGCCCTAACCTTTTATAAGGCAGGTGCTGTGGGGGCCACTGAGGCTCTGCTTAGAAAGTTTAGAAGATTGGGTTGTTCCCTGACCCCCTAATAGGAGGGTCCTGACATAGTAACCATGACCCACAGACCCTGACATCATTGGTTGTCTCAGTATCTTTGCCCCACCACTAAAACCCCATCACCACGTACCTGGCATGACCATCACCCCATCACTGTCACCATTGCCACCATTACCGTCACCGTGTACCCACCACCAGCATATCCCTAGAACATCTCCCCGCCACCATCACCCCATCAGCACCATCTCACCACAACTGCTTCCTATCACCACACTGCCTGTTCCCCCATCACGTGACCCCATCGCCCCCATCACCGTGAGACTTTCCAGCGTCACCATACACTCAGCCCCATCTACCATCACCCATCACCCCACCACTGTGTCTCTCTCTGCTCACTGCACCCATCGGTCACCTGCGCCCAACCCCTCACTTAGGTCAATATGAACCCCAACCCTTGGCCTTTCAAATGCCAACCCCCAGCCACAGTCACCCCCATCCCTGGCACCCAGCACAATGATAAGGACACAACTTCCCAACATAAGGATCAAGGGTCCTGGAGGTCGGACATGGTGACAGCTTTCATGGGCCCCAGCCCAGTGACTCTTTCTCATCCTAGTCCCCACAGCCCTCATCCTACCCCACCGGAGGCCTCTTGTCTCCTCCACCAGGAGATGCACGCAGCCTGCAGGTTTTATTTACCCTGACATGGGGTCACTGTCTATGTCAGAGGTGTACTGCAGCGACGAGCTCAGCTGATTCAGCCTCTCCACGTTCCTCCTGACCCTGGTCAAGCTGCAAAGAGAAAAAAACCTCATGATTAATACAAACCCCACCAGCACACCAAGAACAAACACACACCACATTAGCACACACACAGAACATGCATAAGAGCCAACTCAGTGCTGGGCCCTGGCATCCTGAGGATGGATATCACACACACTACTAGGGTCTTGGGCAACAACGCCAGGCATTCTTTTCAAGTGCACCCGGGACATTCTCTAGGGCAGACCACATGTGAGGCCACAAAACAAGCCTCAACAGATTTGAAAAGACAGCTGTCCTACAAAGTATCTTCTCCAATCACAATGGGATGAAGTTAAAAATCAGTAACAGAAGATGACAATGCCACAGTGTTAAAAAAACAAAAAAGAAATGCTAAAAACAACTCATACCTTGGGAAACTAATTAACATGGTACAAAAAAATTAAAATAAAATTTAAAAAAACTTGTGGGTTAAAGAAGAAATCATAAAGGAAATCTAAAAAAATATGTAAAACGGAATGATAAGATACTACAGGTCAGAATTTGTGAAACAGCTAAAGTAGTTCTGAGAGGAAACAGAACTTTAATAGTGAGATGGTATTAAACTCAGGAAGACGGGAAAAAATAGTGCAAACCCCCAAAGTAAGGAAGCACTTAATAAAGATTAAGTGCAGAAACAGAAGAAGACAATGACCACAAAAAATACAAGAAGATTCACAAAACCAAACTCAGCAGACATCTGGCAAGACTAATCGTGAAAAGGAGAAATGATACAGAAGAAAAAAGGCATAATAAAAAAAAGGGGAAATAACTATAGGTACAACAGAGATTTTTAAAATAAAAACCTCATTTGGATTCTGACTCCAACAAACTACCCATGGAAAGACATTTTTGAAACAAGTGGCATCAACTAAAGACAGACTAGTATTGAAATCTGGTAGTAAGTTACTGTTAATTGTGCCAAATGTGTTATTGATAGAGTGGTTATATTTCTTTTTAAAAGACCATGGTTTTGAAGGACAACTCATAAAGCTGAGGAGAAAATATTTTTAAAAAATCAGTGTGCAGCCCAGCTGGGCGTGGCTCAGTGGTTGAGCGTCGACCTAAGATCCAGGCGATCAGGGTTTGATTCTTGGTCAGGGCACATGCCCGGGTTGCGGGCTGCAGCCGATCAATGACTCTCTCATCATTGATGTTTCTATCTCTCTCCCTCTCTTTTCCTCTCTCTGAAATCAATAAAGATATATTTTTAAAAATAAATAACAACACTTATACAGTGTTCAAGGAGATTAAAGAAACAATTCAAGAGAACTTGAAATATAAAAAAATAAGAGTCTAAAACTAAAAAATAATACAGCAAATTAATAATTAGACACAGCTAAGGATATGATTTATGAACTGGAGGATAGGTCAAAATAAACATACGTAGACTAAAGTCAAAGGACACAAAAAGATGGTCAATGTAAATACAGAAGACAGTAGGTGAAATATGGAGTACAGTTTACAAAAGGCCTTATATATCTGTAATGAGAGTCCTAAAAAGAGGAATGAGAAGATGGGGCAGAAGCAATCTTTACAGGGATAGTGGCTGCATATTTTCCAAAACTGATGAAAAACAAGCCAATGATTCCAGAAGTACCGTAAACCTCAAGCAGCATAAATTCAAAGAAAACCACACCTAGGCACATCATGATAAAACTGCTGAAACCAAATTACAAAGAGAAAAATCTTAAAAGTAGTCAGAGAAAAGACACATTACTTGCAAAGGAGCAATAATAAAACGGTCAGCTGATTTCTCAACAGAAACAATAGACATCAGAAGACAATGGAATGAAAGCTTTAAAGTGTTGAAAGTTGATAACTGCCAACCTAGAAATCTATAACCAGGAAAAATATCCTTTAAGAAGGAAGGTGAAATAAAGACATTTTCAGACAAACAAAAACCAAGAAAATCTGACACCAGCAGACCTGCATTAAAGGTAGAAAAACATGGTCTCAAATGAAGCTTAAAGAAGTAGGAAGCATTAAGCAGCAGCCAACTGGGCTCCTTCTAGAGCATGCCCATACCTTCCCCATTCCTTTCTCAGGCATGTTTTTTTTTTCTCTCTAAGTTCTAAGGGTCCCCATGAGGCTTGCAACCAGGGGAGCAATGGGCAGTGGCAGCTCGTCCGGGGCTAACTCCCTGAACCTGTCTCCAAGACCTCCTTTTCTCTGACTTTTCAGTGAGCCAACAGCAGCCCCGCCTTGGCTCACTTCTGTCACTGACTTTTACTCCCCAGAAAGTCAACAGCAGCCCCGCCTAGGCTCTTTCCTATTGCTTCTTCTAATCCTAAGCTCTTCTTTGTTTCACTGTCCCCAGCTTTAATAAATGTACTCACACACACACACAAAAAGCAGCAGAGAAAATAAATATGTGGATAAATGTAAATAAATATTCACTGTCAAAAACAAAATATTATCTTTGGGGTTTACAATAGTATTACAGGAGATAAAGAGGGACATTACATATGATAAAATAAGCAATTCATCAGAAAGTAAAAACAATCCTCAATATGTATGCACCTAATAACAAGCATCAGAATTCATGATGCCAATATTGACAGAATTAAAAGAATAAACATATCTGTATTCTCTCAGTAACTGATCAAACAAGTAGACAAAACCACTAAGGACAGAAAAGATCTAAACACTATTATCAACCCACTTGACCTGACACTTAAAAACACTGCACTCAACGACTGCAGAATATACCTTCTTTTCAAGTACATATGGAAATATTTACCAAGAGACAATATATGCTGGGTCATAAATGAGCCTCAATAAGTTTCAAAAGACTGAAATCTTAAAAGAAAACAACACAATGAGGTATTACTGCACAGCCACCAAAACAGCTAAAATTAAAACTTTCTAGGGAATAGCAATGATCTGGCCTGCTTTGGCTCAGTGCTTAGAGCGCGCAGATTGAAGGGTCCTGGGTTTGATTCAAGCCAAGGGCACGTACCTTCGGTTGCAGGCTCGATTCCGGGCCCCAGTCAGGGCACATGTGGGAAGCAACCAACTGATGTGTCTCTCACATCAATATTTCTCTCTCTCTCCCCCTCTTTCTCTCCCTTCCACTCTCTCTCTGAAAAGCAATGGAAAAAATATCGAGGGAGGATTAAAAAAAAGTAATAAAAAAATTAAAAAAGAAATATTTAGTGTTTCAAACTGAAAGCATTCAGATCTGTGCATTTCACTGTATGCAATTACACCTCAATTTTAAAAAAATATTTACAATACCAAGTTTTGGAGAACCTGTAAAGCAAACATGGCTGGTAGGCTGGTAAAACCATGATAGAAACTGGAAGTGTCTCCAGAGCTGAGCACCTTCAGTCCATGGCTCAGCAATTCCAATCCTAGACGTTTACCCGGAAGAAATGTGTTTCTTCTAAAAGGCACCAAAGACTTGTTAACAGAGAGAAAGAGAGCACTTAATATCACTCTCAGAATAGCAGAAACTCATGGAGTCTCTGCCAAATGCAAGTGATGATGGTTCTCCCTTTGCTTTTCTCAAAAAAAAAAAGGTGCAGTGTAAACCCGTGGGCCACATCAGGAAGCCGCAGGCATGGCATACTGTGGGGCACATGCCCACACATGGTGCCCTCCAGGACCCACAAGATATGCCTGCACAAATCACATACAAGCCCTCCAGGTACCTGCACATACCACAGGGTACACTCACACCAAGGTGCCCACGCTGAGAACATGTTGGTATAAGTACACGCCCAAGGGTGAGCCATAGGACCAGCTGAGAAACCTGCTCAGCCCCAGGTTGGATGAGCTGGCGCCCTCACGGTAGGGGACAGAGGGGCAAGAGACTAATTGAACAGGGTCTGGGGAGTCCAGCCCAGAGAAGAGACCCCCCCCAACCCACCCTGGACCAATGCTCCACCACCATCTTGAGAAGGCTAACAGGCCAGGGGGCAGGGCCATTTCCCCTCCATGCACAGTCCTGCTGGGGCACCCACCGTGCCCACTGGTGTACCCACCTGTCCTGAATATCAGCACAACCTTCCTTGCTCCATACAAATCTCTTCAGTACGTCAGAGCAGCAATACTGGTTGTAACAGGTGCCACAGCAGAAAACAGGACAGGACTTGGAGAAGAGGTTGTCTCCACCGGAAGCCATACACACCTCACTGTGGGCTGGAGCAGAGAAACACTTGTTCACCTATGGCCAAGGTGAAACCTCATGCCAGGCCTCAGCCACGTCCCAGCCAACCAGCCCCTTCCCCAGCACAGCTAGCAGGCACAAGCACGCTGGGCCGCCTCTGGCCACTGCCCCAACCAACCCTGCCTTCTCCCCCGGGCCACCGTAGATACTCCTGACTGGGCTCCCTCTTTCCCCACCGGTCCCCTTGCGTTCCGATGAGCTAGTGAACTTTCTAAGTCTGAGTCTGACTGGGCCAATCCCTGCCTCGGGATCAAGTCCACAGCCCACAAAGCAGGGGCCAGACTGCAAAGGGCCTTGAAGGTCAACCCAACTTGCCAGTCCTCCCCACACTCTGCCCATTTTTTTGCCTGGTCCCACCCATCCTTTAGGGCCCTACTACAGGCCACCTCCTCCAGAAGCTGCCAAAGCCCAGCAGTCACACAGCTGAACAGGAAGGCCCCTGGCCAGCTGCTGGGGACCAGGCACTGGACCGGCCAATTTTTTTTTAATCTTCACCCAAGTATATGTTTTTATTGATTTTTAGAGTGAGAGAAATAGAGAAACGTTGATGTGAGAGAGAACCATCGATCAGTTGCCTCCCATACACACCCCAACTGGGGATCAAACCTGCTACCGAGGTGTGTGACCTGACCAGGAAACGAAGCTGTAACATTTTTGTGTGCGGGACAATGTCCAGCCAGCTGAGCCGCCCAGCCAGGGCCCAGCCAATTCTTCATCTTCATTCCCTTGGCCACAGCAGCCTCAGCCCCTGCTGAACTCTACAATTTCAGGGGTCCAGCCCTGACAACACCCTCATGGCCGGCTGTCTCCTGACCAATTCCCCACTGGCTACAGTCACACCCACAAAAGTATCCATGCAGCACTTAGCCCTGCGCTGGGCCTGCAGCAGGTGCCTAGGAAATGGTTGTGCCCTCAGTGGCCAGGGTTCCGAGGCACTGGCATAATTTCAAGCCCCAGAACCATCACAAGGCTCTCGGCCACAGGGCTGGGATCTAAAGGCATCCCCACAGGCTGGGGTATGAACAGAGCTTCAGGACACAAAGTCATGATGAGTGAACCTGGTTGACAAGTGTAGAAAATGACCCAGGGCTTTGGGTGACCACAAGGTTTGCAAATTTCCGGGAAGATGCTACAGCCAAGCTCCCATGCATCCTCAGGCTACCTTAGCAGACAGCTAGGGCCCACTGACAGGATGGGACAGTCCAGGATTCTGCCTGGACAGGCCCCAAATGGAACCAGCCAGGTCAGCAAGGCCCAAATGACTGTGGTTAACTGGGAATAGGTCTGGCAAAAAAAACACACACCCTGAAGTGTGGCTAAAACTGCCCTGACACAGCCCTGGAACTCCAGAGACCCAGCCCGGTCAGAGTAGAATGTACCCCGGGGCCACTGGCGGAGCAAGGTCCACTGAGTGACCCTGAAAAGAGAGAACCATGAATGTGGCGGGAAAGGGGAGATATTCTGTCCCTGGCAGCTCCAGGCAGAGCCCTGCTCAGGGCAAAACTGTGGGGCAGACCTTAGAGCCACAGCTCCAGAGCCTCTAAGCTGGGGCTGAAGACAAACACCTGCGACTCTGTTTGGGCCAAGAGCCCATGACACAAGTGTCCTTGGACCCTCATACACTCTGGACGAAGCTCTCCAGACCTCATTGGACCAGGGACCAGAGCTCTGACCGCTCGCTTTCCCACCCCAGGTCCTCCAGATTCCTCCCAGCGCTCGGAAAATACAGCCCTTCCCCTGGGGGAAGCCACCCGCCCAGAGGGATCTTTGGCTTCCTCGGCTGGGGGGTGGGGAGGTGTTGCTCAATTCCTAACCCTGAAAGGCCCCCAGCCTGGTCTCCCCGTCTGTGAATCATTAGCCCACAGCCAACCAATCAAGGCCCTGGCGGGGCAGTTCAGTTGGTCAGCGTGTCCGCCCAGCGCCAAGGTTGCGGGTTCGATCCCAGCCGGGCACTCACGGGAATCGATCAGCGATGCATGAGGAAGTGGGACAGCTCTGTGTTTCTCTCTCTCTCAGTTCCCCGCTCTCTCCCTTCCTTTCTCTCTCTAGAATCAATAATAATAAAAAATTTACCATCAACCGATCAACACAGCTGGTCGCCGCCTCCAACCCCAGAAGGCCGCCTCGGCCGTCCCCAGGATCCCAAGGGCCCTGGAGGCGGCCTTTGGGGGCTCCCGCGAGAGAGCGGCGGCGAGGGCAGGCCTCGCGGGGCCAGGCTCCGGACGCCACCCCGGGCTGGGGCCGGCGAAGGGACGACCGCCCCCCCCGTTTCCAGGACAGAGCCATGCTGCCAGCAGCCGGGGGTCCGGGCGGTGTCATTCAGGCGGGGGG